GGTCAGTATTTTGGGAGCAATCGCCTCTGGGATGGCTCAATATACACTTCACAGGGCTGTTTTGTATTTTGCACACTAGGGAAGAGGGAGTCCCGTTCTAAAGTGTCAGCCAAGCCTCTCAAGTCCCACATTTCTGGGGGGACAGAAAGACAGCAGTGGCTGAGAAATGTTGAAACCCAAAACAAGGAGCTTTTAGCCATCATTGGGGGGGAATACTCCACTTAAACTTTGTTTTCTTCTCTGTTCTACCAAATTTGTCCAAGTAAATCATACTTTATCTCTCAACTAACTTCTGAATGCAACACCAGTTCTCTACATGGTCATTATGTTTTTCTATTTTTAATTGTATTTTATTAAATAAAAAATTCTTCCATCTACAGCGAAACAAAACAGTTTCCAGTTATTATATGCTTTTGGTTTCTGTCTCCTCTGTAAGTACCTTATTTTTTCCAGTTATTTTCAAGATTTCAGGCTAGGATTACCCCAGCCTCTTATATCACATTATTTTCTTACCATGAAGTTGTTTATGTGTATTGTTTACCCAACAGACATTTCTCTTTCACTTGGTATATTCATTACTAAATAATTCTGTGAGAAGATACAGGCCACTGATTTTTTGCAATTTGCATCCCCATACTCTAAGCTATGTTGAAAGCAAAGCTTTTTGGATCTCTTGCTTTGGAAGTACATTAATATTTCTATGACCTTTACTAGATGGCAGATGAGAAGCATTAGGAATAAAATAACAAACAAACCAAAGGAAACCAATTTTTTAAAATGCGTATTTCTGAAAGGAGCAAGAGGGATAAGAACCTACTCTAAAAATATATGAACTTTAGCTACAGTTATGATAATTGTTCTATTGTGGCCTATTTTTCCATGTCAAAATGTTTCTTTATGATCAATCCATTTGACATAATGCAAAAATGTATTTCAAGGGGTTTAGTAGCCATGCATACAAAAATATATAGATATTATTTAGAGTTATTTAGAAGGAAATAGAATAGTTTAAGACATGTTTATTTACTCTGTACATTGAAGGGATCATATTAAAAGCACAGTCACTATGCTAATAACTACTTTACACAAAATGACTTCAAATCATTTAACTTCCAAAGCCTGCTGGTTATGAAGAAATTCTGTGAAACAAGATGCAAATGTAGTGCCTTTTTGTGCGGTGCAAATGCTCTGCTTTAGAAGACTATACTTTCTGAAGCCTTTAGAAGACTGTAGAAGGAAAGCCAACTAAATTCTACCCAGGAAACCATTTCTCTCACGGCAGTATTGTTTTTCAGTGGTTTTACTACACACCGGAAGCCAACTCTGTTCCTGTTCATCTAGGTGTTGATGCTGTAACTCAAAAGAACAGATCCAAAAATGATTTTTAGTGACTTGAAATTTGACTGCTTTATGAACACTGTGTATAGATTAACAACATCTATGATTCAGCAAGGCATTTAACAGATGGAAAGCAGAAGTTGTCCCATGAACTAAAGTATTTGTTCACTGGATTCCAACTGGAGGCAAAACCGAGATTCTTTAATAGCGACTCTCTTTCATATACTTTTCATCATGTGCCACAGTATCAAGTGAAATGATATTCTGGGGAGTGGGTGTTATTTCTTTTTAGGATAGCATGGAAGAGTCAGAAAATTTTAAAATAACAATAACTAGTTCACCATAACATTAATCACACGAATCTAGAAGGGTTCAGATTAAATCAAGTGGTGTTATTTATAGGATTGACATGATGGCAAGAATCTCTTTCTATCTCTACTACCAAAAGCAATGCCATTGCAGCCAGCAGAAATAAAAATAGGCTGTATATTGAATGTGTCACATCGTACCTATTTTTTAGTTATTGCTTTCATAAGTTCTTCTGTTATAATGTATGCAAATTTTCCCTCCTTGAGGTTTCAAGGAATACTATCTTAATATTTTAGGATCAAAATATAGTGTTTTCAAGAATTTCTTAATGGGAAAAACAGTTAGAAAACATGCTTTTTGTTGTTTGAATTAGTTTAAGTGAAACGAGGGACTTCTTTATAGTTTGAATACAAGCATTTCCCTTCCCTTTGCTCTTTAAGCCCAAGAGCTTGTTGCTCTTTGTTCAAGTTTTCAGAGAAACTGAAAGCAACTAACTTCAAGAAAGAAACTGACTTCAAAAAATACCTTTCCTCCCCACTGTTTATTTTTTAAAGAATTTCCTCAGATTGGTCTAGCAGTATGGAGAAGTATAAATCATCCTTACATTATTTTTACAATTTTGATTTATCTAGAGGATTTCTAACATACACCTTTCTCTCACTAGATATAGAGATTCTGGCTCTTAACCAATCTGTAATGTCAGAGACAACCATGCTGACTTATTCAGCTGAGAGCCTGCCCCATTTTAAATATAGCTCCCATCTCCTTAGATTATTGTGGTTTAATTATGCCATGTGTAAAATGTTTTTATACATAAAGCAACCAATCTGAACTTACTCAAGCGATGGCATCTGTCTTTGCAATCAATGTTCTCAGCCCACTGCTGGTTTAAAATGTAATCAGTTTTCATCTGTTAGTTTGAATGGAATTTAAGTTTCTGTTCAAGATATAGCCTGCAATGCTGCATTGCATTGCACAAAGACAGTTCCTACATTCTTACCCAAAGTAAGATCACTCTCTCTGCACTGCAGAGTTGGGCCTCTGAAAGATTTAATTAGGATACTTCTCAAGTATATAACAACATAGCCTTTATAATCAGTAACAAACTGGCAAATATTTTTGAATGGAACATAATAATTCAATAGGACATAAAAGCCAAATTTGCAAAAGAGACTATGTTTTCATCTAATATATACATGAATAGCTTCAAAATGGACAAGCACAGAAGGCAAAGGCAGGTTGCATCCTTCCTGTACCTGTGCGTATACTTGAATTTTGCACATTTGCATGTAAGTTCTAATTTAATGCATACAGAGAAAGTGATGTGAGCATCTCTTTTAAAATATCTGTCATCAGTGATTTATGCATGATGGAAATACAGAAATCTAGAAGTGATACAGTTTCTGTGTTAGGTCAGACATTTCAAGAACTGGAATCTTTCTGCCCCACTTTAGGATAAACAATCTGCTATGGTCTCATTAGGAGAAATGGTATACCTTAGTGTCAGTGCTTGTCTTGCTTAGCTGTCATCTCACATTTGCTAGGGGCTTGTATAGCCTCTATGACTGAGATTTCCACAGCAATGTCAGGCATTTGGATGCTCATTTCCCATTACTGTTGCTGAGGATCTAACCCCTTAATAAAGGGATGTTAGTTTTTTCTGCAGATTTGCTGTCTTCTGGCTCTGTGGTTTATGTTGCCTACCTATCAGTATTTCCAGTGAGTCTTCAGCCTGCTCTTGAAAAAGCCTTTTGCCATTGATGTATTTTATAATCCTCCACAAAAAGTCATTAAGTGACTATGGGAAAGCTATATCTTACCAACTTATTATGCACGTATTGTGCTGGTTTTGGCTGGGGTATAGTTAATTTTCTTCACAGTGGCCAGTGTGGGGCTGTGTTCTGGATTTGTGCTGGAAGCAGCGTTGATAACACAGCAAGGGATGCTCTGGTTGCTGCCGAGCAGCGCTCACACAGCGCCAAGGCCTTTTCTGCTCCTCACCCCACCCCCCCAGCGAGCGGGCTGGGGGGGCACAAGGAGTTGGGAGGGGACACAGCCGGGACAGCTGACCCCCCCTGACCCCAGGGATGTCCCACACCGTACGGCGTCATGCTCAGCACCTACAGCTGGGGGAAGGAGGAGGAGGAAGGGGGGGACGTTCGGAGGGATGGCGTTTCCCTTCCCCAGTCACCGTTACGCGGGATGGAGCCCGGCTGTCCTGGGGAGGGCTGAGCCCCTGCCTGACCATGGGGAGTGGGGGATGAATCCCATGTTTTGCTTTGCTGGTGTGCACGGCTTCTGCTTTCCCTGTGAACCTGTCTTTATCTCAACCCATGAGGTTTCTTACTTTTACCCTTCTGATTCCCTCCTCCATCCTACCTGGGGTGAGTGAGCATGCAGCTGTGTGAGGCTTTAGTTGCCAGCTGGGATTAAACCATGACACATATGTACCCTAAAAGCCTGTAGAAAGCCTGTACTGAAGAAAAGCAAGCAGGAGAGGTAACAGAGCAGAAATACAGATAATTTAGATAATACCAGAGACCTCAGGACAAAAACTTATGAGCAAGCTGCCAGGTTGTCCAAATTAGAATAAACTATTTGGACTATTTTGGCCCCTGGAGCACAGTAGAACTCCTAGACCTACTAAATTCACATCTGGTCTTTTCCTTCTCAGGGATGCAACTTCCTCATGTTGTCTACACCAACATCAGAAAATAAAACAGTGCTGAGACAAAGGCTTAAGTACTGGCCCTCCATCTTCCCTATTCAACTGTTTTCAGTTTAAGCATAAAAGAAATTAAGCATGGATGCAAGCCACACAATCTTAATTAGCCCCTAGACCAGAGAACATAAACTGGCTCGGTTTTTTTCACTACTACACATAGAGACAGTACAGGCAAAGCTAAAATCTCACTCTGTGACATTTAACCATCTTTGCAAGGCACACTTTTGACAGCTGGTAAGAAGGGTTGCTGCTCTGTAATGATTTCTTAGTTAATACATATGTGTGTCCACATGTGTATGTATCTATACGTATACAAAATGTTTATGTCAATGGATGGAACAGATAAAACATAATTTTCAACCTTAGTTAACAAGGCAATCCCATACAGAGAACAAGTTTCAAGTCTTTGACTTATGACTCCTCTTGTTTTTAATACGGTTTTAACTGTCAATGTTAGTAAGTCATAAATATGAGAATAATGTAATAAGGACTACCACAAACACCCACTTCTATGTTATTTTATTTTTGTTCCGTATTTAAAGTATCCACACATCTTCACACATGTCCTTCCTCCTTACTGTCAGACACTGAAGCTCTCAGTTATGCAGGTAAAAAGGACTGACACTTTTTAAACTGTAATAGTTTCTCGTTCTGTCTTGTTGAAAGAATCTTGAGAACTAACTAGAGTCACCCCTTGAGAAAAAGGTCTGTGGTGATTATACTGAGATGAGCTTCCATGTTTTGCTATGTATCTGCAGTCACACAGAGAAAAAAAAAAGACTCTTAACGTGTGAATTTATATTGCTAAACATTCCCTTTTCTTCCCTCTTACTGCTTTCTTCATAAACAGTTATGCCCATTGGCCTCAGAGAATATTAACAATTTGCAATATTCCACAATATTAGAATCCATCCCCTTAAGAACAATGGTGGCACATCTTCCTAAGAATTTTAAATCTTATTTTAAATCTTCCTTTCTGGATATATGTAACATGCTGAAAGACAGAACCCTACAGCAGCAGTAAGAGAGGTATGTTCTGTCTCTTGAATCTTTTCAGCTTTTATTAGGCACACACAGTTGCTTCACAAAAGACCTGCACAGTATGTGGGGAACTGCCATGGGCATGTTGAATGCATTCAAGCACATAAGGCCCTGTGGTGCCTGGAGGTGATGCTGGAGGTTTGGCTTTCAAGACTAGAAAAACCACTTTGCTGGCACCCTGGTGTGCCTTCTTTAGATGCCCAGTCCTTGTGGTACAGAATACTGGTATGGGCACTAGTAAATATGCTGGGGACAGTCTGGGAGGGAACAATTTATGCTAGACTTCTGGTACTCTTCTCATCCTTTACAGGAAGAGGCACTATAAATGATCTTATACCTACAACCTAAGTCAGTGTAGTCCCTCTGCTGCAAAACACCTAATCAAAAGCAGGGCTGACACAGAACTGACCACAGACTTATGTTCACTCACTCTCCAAAGAAAAAATATTTTACTTTGACCTGAAGATCTCTCTTGAAATCTCCAAAGCAGCCTGCTAAATGGGTGCAAACTTTCTCTCAAAAATCAAACTACATCTAGCACTATCTTATATTAACTATGGTGAGGACAATGAATTTCCTCACAATCTGTGGTGCAAATGGATTTGTGTTTTCTGGGTAGCAATGGACAGTTCACTTAAACACAAAACGACACATAAAATGTTCCTTCCTATGCAAAAGCTAAACAATGCTGCCAGAATCTAATTGCACTAAAGGGCTTTGAAACCTAATTTTCTGACTTCACCTTGGGATTGACTGGAAATAAAAATACAATAAAAATACACCAATAAAGCTTGACACATAAAAATACTATTCATATTTGAAGATGTAAAAACTGTATTTCTTCTGTTCTATATCCTCTACAATCCTGCTGTGTTCAGAATGCTTAAAGGAGGTATAAAGGATTTTTCCCCACATACTATGGATGCTCCATGCAATAGAAATACAGCGATGTAGTTGCATGCTGCCTGGTCTATCTGATGTTGCTGGTACTTTTGACAGGAACATTTATTAGACCATGTTAGCAGTAGACAAGAGAATCCCTCTGATACCCATAATTGTCTTCAGGAGACTGACCATATATTGTAGGCATGTCAAATAAAGCAGCTATAAAAACATCCACCACATGCAATCACTTGCTACTTTCTGAGAAATTATTACAGTCATGGCTTGAGAATGATCGAAGAGAGAAAAAAAAGGAGTCATCATTTTAAAAACATTAAGAATGAGATCACGTTCTACATGAAAAGCATGTGGAGGTGGCCCCAAATTCCAGGAATAACCTCTATTCTCTTCACCTCTCCACTACAGTCTATCTTGACCTGTGACCACTGAAATCAACAGGACTTTTCATCATTTATTTTACAAAGGGAAGGAATCAAATGCTCAGCATCTTTTTTTCATGGGCATCAATAACTAATGTTGGGGGGCAGATTACCAGAATCCCTAGTAGTTTTACATAGCAGTTTCACAGAGGGCTACAATCCTCCATCTTAAGCTTGTGAACACCTACCTTACTCCACAAGTAGGCCCCCAGAAAGTAAAATGGGACTCTTACAATTTTGTAACCAGGGGTACTACCCTCAGGGGAATGTACCACTAAGCTCAGAAAAAGGGTGGTAAAACCTGGTCTACAATCTCTGGGTATGACTAAGCTTGCTATGTCTTTCCTACACACTCTTCTTCAAAAAAGTCAGGAGATTCTGTCCTGTTTCTGGAAAGTATCCGTTAGCACAGAATGAGAACCCTGTTCTTGCTATCCACTAAAAACTAAGAAAATTCATCCACTATGAACTACACCCACAGTAACACCTGTATAAAGTAAAATGAAGTAACAAATGTGTTTTCCTTTCTTAGATCACAGCGGCACTTCTCTTTTTGCTCTTGAAATCTGGTATGTGTCTGAAGTCTGCCAATGATCTTTGCTAAGATGCATTTGCCTTTTTATTTGTCTGTGACATTTACAAGCAAGTTAGTCTTGCATCAGGCTGCTCTAAGTTCAGCTTTATTAACATATACTCAGGACTCTTGCATCTTTTCATTCCCTGTCAACAGCAAACTCTGACTACAGGTGACTGCCTATTTTCTAAGTACAACCACAAGAGAAAAAGAGCAGAGGTGAATGGATGGAGGGCAGCAGAAATGAAAGTCAGTGCATTTTGAACAACAATGAAACACTTGACAAGGTGAGTCCTTTAAAAGCCAGGCAGCTCCCTAAAGCTCTTCTCAAGCCCTTTCTGGATACTTTTCACTGGCAGTGCTGAAAAAGCATCATGATGTGTTGTGAACAGAATGCTAAGGCCAGTTAAACAGTTTAATGGAAGATAAAGTTCTCAGGAAAATATGGAGACTTAGGATAGCATCACCATGTCCTAGATCATTATGGATAATAAGAAATCAGAATCCAAAGCACAAAATCATAAAGGAGAGAGGGGAAATAAATAGTTATTAAACTATTCTGAAGCTACTGGGAGAAAGACTAGGTTGGTCCTTTGCCAGTGTCAGAAACTCTTTGTGCTAACAAAAGGAAAAAAAGTTTTTCAGCTGTTCTGAAGTGTCCAGCTCTTTTGAAACCAACAAGAGTTAGACACCTAAATACTTACACTGGCCCATAGTTTTAACAAGCCTTGTATGGAAGAGCGAGAGAATAAAGATTACTAATTAATTTCCTGAGGTAGCCACAGTAGTGATGTGGAGCTATGATGGTTTCATGGCCACAGGGTCCTGGGCTGCATCAGTGTGGGGGCATGGCATGATTTTGCCTCCTACTGCCTTCTAAGTAAACCCACCCATTTTTAACAACTATTTTTGTATAGCAAATACCCATTTCATAAGTCTGCCAACACCAATTTGGAAACACACCACTACACAGTTTTCTTGTGGGAATTTTTAACTTTGACATTTAAGGGTCTCTTTCAAAACACACACGGATCAATCAGTAAAAGGAAAAAAAGTCACTTAAACCATGACTTAGCAACCATAGCTAAAGAAAACAATTCCCAGTGTAGAAATAAGCCACATTCAGAAATCATGATTTACCTCAGTGTTAAAGTACCTTCCCAATACATAACCTTACAATGTTCCAGAAAAATTCTGAATCCTCAAAGGATTTCATGTTAGAATAACAGTAATGTGGTGGGATCCAACCCCAACTGTTCTGTATTTTTTAAGCCAATGGAATGTCATGCTTAACATTTAATTGTTCTTTAACTAAATAAATGCAATTAGGATTTTCCCTGTAATCTTTCTGAACAAGCTGAGAAATATACCTCATAACTACCCATGCATTCGTGGAATTATTGATGGGGTTGTTGTTGGAAGATTAGAATTTTCCGCGTGAGTTGCTGATCAATGAACCTTGCCAGTATATTCAGGGATATCTGGAGTGCTATAGGAAAAAGTTAAAAGGGGGATGAGGGTTGGAGAAAGGATAAATTAAATGACTACAGGCTTGAAATATGACTTACAGATCCGTTCTAAAATAGCTAATGTTTATCAAAGATGGGTGGGCTAACAACTCTTCATAAAATAATAAGTAGTCCTCAGAGTGTATGAACTGGCATAGCTTCTTTCAGATCAGTGAAACAACTTTATTATGATCTAGTTGATGATCTGACCCAGAATCTGTGGTTAGACATGGCAAAAGTGAATTCTTTAGTGACTTCAACTTTTTTTTCCCCCAGTTGTTTAGGTTGAGTATCTGTATGATATTCAGGATTACAAGCAACATTTAATCTTAAAGAGAAAATGGGGTCACAAGGTTTGCATAGAGCACAAAACCCAAGGAAATATTCTTTAACAATGTGATAAGATTTAGCTCATACTTAGGTGCTGTCTTCAAATACAGAATTTAGGTAGCAGACTTTAAACCAACAGGTGTGATTTCTCATGGCCTAAACCAAAAATGATTTCTCAAATGATTCTAAATTCCTCTATTTTCCCCCTAGGATTTATTAAGAATGTATTTACATGTATATGTAATATTATTAACACTGCTTAGAGACATCAGCTTTAAATTCTAGCTTGAATACACCAGTGGACTGAAACAGTATGTGCCACATCTTGGACAACTAAAGCCTTTTGTTAATTCTGATGCTAAGTCTTAATATGAAATTCAAAATTAAACTTTTTAAAGAGAGAGGGGAAAGAATTCTACTTATCTGAGGTAGCACAACAGAAAAAATTGATAGCAATTGCTGCAAGATAAAGCAAAGATAGACAAAATTAAAGGAACAAAAAAAGAGAAGGTGGTACTAATATGAATTCAGAGATATAATCCATGGAGATTGAAAATAAGACAACCTAAACCCTCAATATGACAGCCTTTTTACAGCACAAAGTTACTCAGAGTATCATCAGTACTGTTGTACATTGACAGCTCAAAATAGGACACTGCTGAATTATGCATATATCCAGACTGCCCATACACATGGAGGTAAGAGCTCATGACAAGCTGTTTCATCCACTGAAACAACTAAACACTTGAGATTGTAAACCTTGCCTCTATTAGTCCTCTGAGGGTCTTCAGACTACATGAATTATAGCAGTGCCTCCTTTAAAATAATCACTGAGGTATGCTTTCGTTCCCCTGTACTCTGGGTAAAAAGAAATGGTTCCTTTCATTATAAGCTGCGTAGAGCTATTAGTTTCAGTACAGCTGTTCAGCTACTTCTCCGCAACTAAATCCAGCACAGGATGCAAAACTGGACATATGTGTGAGATGTGGTTTATCAAAAAATTCTTTGACTTGTGTACTAGGAAACTTTGTTCTGAAACTCCTTGTCAGAATAACAAAGGTAATGACAAAATGCTGTATCTCCCTACCACAGTTATAACAAAGGACTGTGGGTGAACTATACTTGCCACAGGAGCACTGGTGGTATATGTTGTAGTCTTTGTACCCACACTTAGCAGAAAGTCCACCTCGTGCTTTGTCTTTGGAGTAACCTTGCACTAGCCCATACATTCATACACTGCTATACTCCCTTGGCCATGCTGCAGTACATGACCCTCCAGAGAAGATAGTTTTGTAGAATCAGTACAGCAGTTCTGTAGCACTTGAGAAACTGTTACCTATAGGGAATCACCAAGTAGTTGGCTGAGAAAGTGACAAATCTGCTCTGTCTTGACAGCAGCCATTCAGGGGTAACAAGTGGGCCTGAAAATCTAGTACAGCAGTTGAACATATTTTCAGAATTGGCCAGAATGGCTTGCAGGCAAATTTGCTTTTTCATGTCAAAGTTGACAATTGTTAGGTTATGTGCAGATTAGGTAACTGTGTAGAAAATTTCACCTGCATATGCAGAGATCCCAATAAAGTACACAATGAACATTTGGGGTGTAAGTATAAGCACATGCATTAATCCAAACCTGAAAATGTGATATCACTTTGAAGGAATCCGTCGGACTGTGAACAGAGTTTTATTACCCTGGGGATGTGCTACATACCAAAATATACCTCTTACATATAATAAAGAAATTCTATTGACTTCCTTGAAATAGTATAAGCATCACAGAGAAGAGAAGGAGGTCACAACAAGAAGCCCCATATTAACTTGCAACTTTTTACAAGCCTAAATTGAGTTAATTCACATAATAACTATACAACTGTAGAGATATTAGAATACATTATGCACTGTGAAGCATCTGATTGATACAATCTTCTGACCTTTAAAACTAGCAAAGCTAGAAGAGAAAAGCATTATAAATGGCCAAACGTGACCCAAAAATGAAGCCTGAGAGATGACTTAAGATGAAGACTTGTTCTAGACTGTCTGTTAGAAAGGACTGACAAAAATTGGTATATTCATAACATGTGGGAAGGATGCAGCTCTGAAAGAGAAGAGAGACGGGCAGAGAGAATCTAAAAGTACCAGGATAGTAAGAAAGCTTACACTACAGTAAAGTAGCTGCTCTCCTGGGAACCTGCAAAGAAGATGCAAAAATGTGCTGCGGTTATGTATGTGATAAAGCAGAAGAAACTGAGGTTAAAAAAATACCCCTTTGGTTTTTTGTTTTTGGATGAGGCTGTCTAGCTCTTGTGTTTTCTCTGATGAGCTGCTAAACCAGATTGCTGCTGCTAAAGAAAACAACTAAGTGCCAGGCTACCACTGGGCAACATACAAAACTCCTCTGTGGTTATGCTGTCGTCATCAAGCTTTCTTTCTGTTACCATGACATCTTTCTTGTTCCTGCACTTCCTTGTTATCATGCTAGCAGCTCTTAGTCCCAACAGTAAGCAACATACAGTGTTGACAGCTGAATCTGTGCAAGATTTAAGATTTTTCAAGTGGAATGTAGTGATTCTGAGTGTTTCTGCTTTGGTGTGACTGTTTCATATGTCCATCTCAGGATGTCTTTGAGGATTTTTATATCCTCGTAATGTCAGGAAAAACAGCATGGACTTAATTAAGTTGAATACCCATACTGACATTTAGAGCTATCTGAGATGCCTTAATGTATCTGAGATAACCCTGTAGCACAGGATCCTCAAGAGATCCATACAATTCTGAAGCGGCAGCTGGAAGCAATGGTTTAGGGCATCTCTAGGCCATTGGATGCCCAGGTTTGCCATGTAAATTTCATGTCAGTTTTTTTTATGGGAGCAAAATTGAGATTGCCCCAAATAATTTGTAATTCTTGAAAACCTCGAATCTAGCACTTCAGTCTGAGGTATCCAAGTTCTTTGTGCAAAAATGCTGCCTAGTTAAAACAATCTGATATATTATTACCTTGCACTTATGAGCAAAGAGTTCCTAACATCTTACTCTTTCTTAGAAACATTGTTGTATAAATCTCAGAACTAAAACACCAGATTAAATCATTAACTAGCTCTTCTGGTTACTTCAGTTATAAAGTAGGCCTCTCAGGTCTCACTCACAATACATAAGACTCACAACTGTCTTCCATCTCAAATTCCCTTCCAGGAATTCTGACGTCACATATTTGTGGCTTCTTTTACTCCATGATCCTATTTGCCAAGAACAATAACCTGTGTTAAAAATGCCTCAGACGTGAACCTGTGCCAGGAAACAAAATGTATACAGTCTTTTGTGTTGGGAAAGAAAATACTGAGAGAACCTCTGAAATCGAAACAAGGTGCTCCATGCACCTTGAATGCACCAAGAATGGGACTGACACGATTACTGAACAGAGCATTCTGGGTTGCATTTCATACGCTTTTCCCTCAACAATCAGAGCAGGATAGAGAATGGGTATTTACAAATGCACTTGGGGTTTCTAAAAAGGATAAAACCATCAAAATGGCAATTCCTCAGAAATATTTTAAATCATATTGAACTAGAACATTTTGTTTCTCCAGTTTCAAACAGGTTTATTCTGCTTTCATCTTTTTCAAACCCCCTTTTCAGTACAGTGTAATATTAATCAGAAACAAGGAAACACTTCAAGCCAGTAATAAAATATCATTTGAAAAATGTCAAAGTAGGATATTTCTGCATCCCGTACCCTCAAGCCCCCATATGACTCAAACTGGAAAATCACTGAAAAGGCATATATGGTAGACAAGCTGTCAGTTTCTGAAAAAAAGATACATATGGGAAAGGTCTTAGGCAGCCCATGAAAATGACTATGCAAGGTGCAAGTCTGCAGAGGGTCCTGTCCTCAGCTAATTGTGGCCTGTGAGGTTTCTGTGGTAGTTTGAAATGATAAAGGATGCATGCACACAGGCAGATGGAAGCTGACTACACCGAAGAAATATGTCTGAAGTCACTACAGATATACTGATGTGATAGTAGCATTTTGCCCAATGTGCTTGAGAAACCAAGAATAAAGGGTAGTTTCAGAGAATTGCTTTGGGCAAGAACTGCAGGACTTGAAACACTTAGGACTTTGTTTTCCTAGAAACTGTATGTCTTAAGTTTCCATTTCAATCAACTGCTTTCAGAAATGGATTTTGGTCAGATCCTGTTCTCTCTCCGACACAGACAACTTCTGTGGCCTTGGACAAGTCTCTTCAGCCTCCTCAGTCCTCATCCTTCAAAGACTAATACTGTAATCTACTTTACCAGTGTTATGGCAATGAATTAGTTGATGCTTCAAAAGTGCTGCTAAGTAAATGACACTTTGTTAGAATGCATATGTATTGTGTAAGCACTGCCCTCTACTGAGTGTTATGAGAGCTGGTGAATTATGAGTAGCAAGTTTTAAAATGTTAACGACTGCCAGATTTTTGATTAATTATGGAGGCAGAGGTTTTTAATGTGGAACAAGAAAACATAATCTCTGTCCTAAATGCTTTTCTCAAATTTCAAGAGGTAGGTTCCAATAAGTACCACAGTGAAGATCAGGAACTTGCTGTGCTATAATGCAAAAGACACAAAAAAGAAAAAATCATGCGTCAGATATAATGCCTGACTGATATGAACT